GTCAGGCTGGTGTCCAAGTCTCGAGCTCAGGTGATCCACCCGCCTCAGCCTCCCAAAATTCTGGGATTATAGACATGAGCCACCGCACCCAGCCTAGTGTTAGCTTTCTAACCTGGATCAAATTACTTCTCAGTGCCTCACATCTGTCATTTGTAGAATAAAGATAATGATATTACCTGCCTTATTGAGTTGTAGTAAGGATTAAATAAAGCGATATATGCGAACAGCCTGGAACATTCCCTGGAATTCAGACGTCTAGATACTGACAAGGCTACAGACATTATAATGGATACTGTAGTATTCTGTCTAGATCCCAAAGACTGGTATGTTGGTTGCTGAAGGCACAAAGAGATTCTCATGGGAATTGTTATACAATGGAGCAGGGAACAGCTTCACCCAAGTTTATCTGTCTCCCTGCTCCCAATCAATGACTAGCTGGCACCAGGAAACAAAGCCCCAGCCCCTCAGTTTGAAGAAATCTTGAGAGGGATCACAGTCTCAGGGGACCCCACTGGATCAGCTAAGACCTCAGTTGCTATGGCATTGCAGGGCAGGTGCTCCTGTCACATCCTGCTTTCCTCACTTCCTCGCAGAAAAAGTATCTTCACAGAACCTTTCCCATGACAATCTAATGTCATTCTCCATCAGCGTGTGTTTCCTGGAATCCAATCTAAGATTATAGATAGATGTAAATAAAACATTTTATCCCCATTATCCTGGAATTGCAGCTAAGTCCCACCCCCTGCTCCCCAAAAGAGGCTAAAACCCCACATTCTAAGTTGAAAAGACCAATGGAAATTGCGCCTAGCCACTTCTCTGCCAGGTTTACTGAGAGAAAGCATTGCATTTCTGAGAACCCGAATGACCCTGACTGCTTTGAAGGAGAAACTAGAAATGAGGAAGTGCTACTTGGAGAAAGCAGTTTTCAAAATCAACACTGTTTTTTGAGGGGGAGGACTAGGAATTCTCCCAACTATCGGAACAAGAGTATTGCTGGTAAATTTTGATGTGTGTTAGAACAGTGACCCACTCCTTCTCTAAGTCAAGGACTCATGATGGCCTCTGAAGCTTGGCAAGTCACTGACCTTGCTGGGCACTGAAGCTGATAACCCGTGGAGAAAATGACAAGACAAAGGAGGCAGCAACAGTGGAACAGCCTGCATTTCCCTTACATTGCAGGCCAGGGTACATGAGTTTCCTAGTTGCTGAATAAACACAAAGCAAGCAGCTGGCCTTTGAGCCCTTTTGCTGTATCCCATCCAACAGGACAATCCCAATGCCGGGAGAATACTAGCATGTGAAGTGGATTTCTAATTCCAGAGACCCTGAAAAATCCACACATGCACCTGTGAAAGATTCAGCCTTTAGAGAGGAATGTCTGTAATGATCAGTCAATGATCAGTCAGCAATATCAACTGTGTAGGAAGATCTCTACCTTCTTCCATCCATCTCTAGGTCTCATCATCAGAAAGGAAGGCAGAAAAGTAGGAAAGGAAGTATGTAAGGAGTTTCTCTCCACTTTAGCCGCTAGAGTGACAAAGAGGTCTTTGCTGCAACAGGGGAGAAAAGGTCTTATGCAACAGGAAATAGTTCAGCATAGCAGAGTGGGGGCAGTTTCATATGATTGAGATTTCTCCATAAGCCTGGTAAATATATGCACTTCAATAAATATTTGTTTAGCACCATGTGTTATATTATGCTATTCCCAGGTGTTCGGTATACAGTAATAAGCAAGAAAGATGTGGTTTCTAAATATATGAAGGTACATATAGTCCTCCTTTGTCTTATTTTGCCAATTTCTTGTCTGTTTCTTTGTCATTTTATTTTTTTCTCTGAGAAACTTCTCTCCTAAGAAAGCTATTACATCATTATTCCAATAATTACTCTTTATTTTTTAAAACATTTCAAGGAAAACTCAACTAGAACACATTTAGAGAAGCAGAAACCAACTGCAAGTTCTTTCTTCAAGAACCGTTCGTTAAAGATTTGCCAATCTTTCGTTCTCAACCACATTTCCCAAAAGTTTGGACTTTGGCCATAGAAGTTCACTTCAGTCTAAAATTTGGCATGTCTGACAGAGAAGACTTCAAATTTGCCAATTTGGCTGATATCCCTTTGAATAACAAGTAGAGAAATAGGACAAATTTGGAGCGAAAAATCTGTAACTCATGGCATTATTCAGAGAGATAATTCATTTCATAGGATAATGAATCTATAGGAAATCAACCCTAAAACACAGTGGATTTATTTTCAGATAGGGTTTTACAAAAGCCTAAAATATGCATACAAATATAGTTTGTAAGCAAATATAAGTAAGTAATACACAAAGACCTGAGACACTCAATTTTATTGAAAATTCTTGTGTTTTATTATTTTTATATGATTTTGCTTGGTTTCATAGGATATTTCAGTATAAAGCAAAAGCAAAAATAAAACAAAATAAAAATTTCTACATATATATAGATACGTATGGAAAAATTATCAAGACATACAGCGCACATATGGATAAACTATATTCGTAACACACACACAAATGTGTATGTATGCATGTAGTGCTAGAATAATGGCAAAGAGCTTGCTAGAGACTTTTGTGAGTTCTGTTGGAAATCATTACGGGCAGATGAGATTAAAATATGTTAAAACATGTAATCTCCTCCTACTCACTGATAAACTCAGAATAGTTAGACTTGAGTTAGCTATCCATAAAGACAGACACTTGTTGGGTTTGTAAGCATCATCTTTATAACAGATTTTCAGAAGTGGCAATTGAAATAATTTTATAGAGAAAGCCAATCTAGAATAAATATGCTTTATGAGGATCTTCTGCCAGGTAGGCCCACAGCCTGCCGAGGGTTCTATACACGTTACCAACCACATTTCTGCAATCCTTGCTGCCTCCTATGCATTCCGACAAATAAAAACACTCTGTTGTAACATCCCAAATTCTCATGTTAAACAATTACACAACTGAAAAACTGAAAAATATTATCTTCTCATTCCCACTTGCAAAGATAAATTAATTGTTATGCTATCCCTGAATAACCCCAATAATGCAAATATTGATGAAAGTAATCTGATACAGATCCCATGTTATCACAGAAGTACAGAAGCGTTTGCCTGGAAACGCCATCCTGATGTCAAAGGCACACCAATAAAGCCCCGGTGACCAGGATGAATGGCACAGACACTGGATTCTCAATGTAGTGCTTTGTGTTTCCAGCTCTGTCTTCAAAGACACATTTGGAACACTTCTCTTCACACTCCATAAGATGATTTAGAATTATAAAACCTAATTTAGCAGCTATTACATACTGTATTAATAATTCAGGAAGCATCTTTTCAAATGATCTAGTTGCATACTATATTTATCTCCATAATTACAGAAGCAAGCTTGAATTTCCTATAATTTTTTTGAAAGGACAACCTTCAGATTCCATATTACACAGTCTTAAACTTCTTTGGCTTTGTTCTTCAAAAGCCATTATGTCATACGCACTGCATGTGAAACGGATGATTTAGAATAGCAATGTTGGAGAAGAGGTTTTATCCACTACTTCCTGGTCTTGAAGACATGGCTCTCTCTAAAACAGTATTGAAAATATCCATCTATATTACTTGAGAAGTTCTTCACCAAAAGATGAAACCTCCTTGCAGCTAGCAGACTGAATGGAAAAGTAGACCTCTAGCATTACTGGAGATAAAGAGTCAACCATCAGTTCAATACCATGCTGATTTAAAAGCCAACATGAGCTATTGTCTGAGAATAAATCGGAAAAGAAATTTCCTCTACTGATACTTCAAAGACTTTGTAACATCTGGAATCTGGTTCTATACAGGGTATTCCACTAAGAAGTAAGAATAAAAGGATTTTAATAAGGCAAATAAGATTCAGGTTTCTTACAATATGTTCTCCCTGGAGGGAAACAAATAACACATTGCATCTGACTAACCTTTCTGCACTTCAGCGGCATTAATTAACATTTAGTCATGCATTCCATCATGAGCCAGATGAACTTAGTGCTACAGCTGTTTTCATCGAGGGGAAAATACGCCTTTCCATTTTAGATTCCCAGCATTTATAAATATGGGAAAAAGACATTTTATTGACTGCTTTGTGGTAGCATTATTGATAAGAACTCCATATTACTTACCCAAATAAATTCCCACCAACCCTAGACCGTGATCAAATCAATATCAATATTACATAAACTGGGTCAGCTGGAGCCAATACTATACAAACCAGATTCCTACCTCCCTTTTTCTTACATTGAGGGACAAGGAAAGGTTGAAGAACTGATCAAAAAGGTAGGTATCACGGCCTTGGAGGAATTGCTGCTGGGTGAGTCAAAGATTTTAGTGAAGATCAGATACACTAAGAGAAATGAATACAGATGACTAGGAAAAACGAACGGATGTTTCAAAAGTTTAACTGCAGGATTTGATGTCTTGGCAGAGCTGTCTTCAGCTTTACCAGCGAAACACGTGGAAGTGGCTGGTTGGGAGCAAAGCTGAGGTACAGAACTGTAATACTTGGTCAGTATTACAAGTATTAAGGAGTAAGAGTTTTTGTTTTGTTTTATTTTGCTTTGCTTTTAGCAAAATCTCCTTTAAGATGCAATTTTGTGAGGAAATATGTCAGTGACTCTGCTGGGCAAAGCATTCAACCTCTAACACCTTGTCAAATTTCATATCACAAGAGCACTATAAAATCAAATTCACTTCAAGAGTCCTGAACAAATACTGTGTCATGACTTGTGGTCAACTATGGAGTCTCAAGGACAAAGGAAAATCCAGTAGTTACATGGTCAGAGTATGTGTGTGTGAGTGCATTCATTTGTACTAGTATATAAACCTGCAGTTATTATCAGTGTCAACACTAACCAAACCTCAAATTAAGGTTCTCAGTCATGATTCAAAAAAGAATGAAACCTGTCTGACCTATCTTCACCTTTACCAACACAGGATGACAATAATTTAATCAGACTAGGAAAATATCTTACCTGGAACTACTTCAAAAAGGAACTTCCCTGGGTTCTCTTCATTGCAGGGATGCTCAAAAACTTTATTTCCAGACAGAAAAATAGCACCCTGTGAACACAAATACTCAACACATCAACATCATCGGATAGCAAACATTATATATCATCATTATAATCAGTGAACATCCAAGGTGTATCTATAACCCAGTAATACAGTAAGATGCATCAGACTCTTATATTTCAAATAATCAAAAATTATGTGCCAGAATAATATTCACTCCAGATTTAACGAACACTTGTTGAGCATCTAATATGTATAAGACTAATATATCTGTTAGCTGCTAGATTCATCTTAAGTACCAATTCATTAAACACATTCTGTGTGCCAGAAATTTTGCCAAGCATTCTACCCACACCATATTATTTAATTGTTAGTATAATCTTACGATGTAGTTATTCTTTTCCCCATTTTATAGCTGTGAAAACAAGGGAGACTTAGACAAAGTTGTGATAAGCCTTCTCTTATCTCTTCACTCTTCTCTTTTCTCTCTCTCTCTCTTTTTTTTTTTTTTTGTTTGTTTTTTGAAATGGAGTTTTGCTCTTGTCACCCAGGTGGGAGTGTAATGGCGCAATCTCAGCTCACTGCAACCTCCGCCCCCTGGGTTCAAGCAATTCCACTGCCTCAGCCTCCTAAGTAGCTGGGATTACAGGCACCCACCACCACACCCAGCTAAATTTTGTATTTTTAGTAGAGACGGGGTTTCAACATGTTGGCCAGGCTAGTCTTGAACTCCTGACCTAAGGTGATCCACCCGCCTTGGCTTCCCAAAGTGCTGAGATTACAGGCATGAGCCACCACGCCCAGCTATCCTTTCTCTATCTTTACATTTCTCTCTTTAGTGGATCATTTCATTCAGTGCTGAGATATATTTAAAATTCCGTGCCATTTAAAAAAATTACTTTTGACTTCCTGCTATCATTCTATTTCTTTTTCTTTGCCTATTGTCTATACTGAATCTATTTCCTCACTGTATCCACTGCAGCCTGGTTGATGCACCCAGCATTCCACTTACATGACTCTCACAACCTACATGTTTGATAATGTTCACTTTTCAGTGACTTGACTTTCCGGTAGTGTTCATCACTATTGACCACTTTTTTCCCTGAAGCACCTTCTTTCCTCGTTTCTTGGTTTTCTCTAGGTTTTTCCCTAATTTCTCTGTTGTCTGAATCTCTTTTGCTGACTCTAATTGACCTTTAAATATTAGAGTTTTTAAAAAGATTTATCCAATAATTTCTTCTCTTCTGACTCTAGTACTCTCTTTCTCCAGGCTATCTCATCCATGCCTATGACTTCAATAACCAACTCTAAGCCAATGAATATCAGAGTAATATTTCTAACCTAGGACACTTTGAGCTTCAGATACATTCAAAAGCTTATTTGACATTTCCACTTGGGTATTTCAAAGTCATCTCAAACTTAACTTAGTCAAATTAAAATGCAAGTAAATCTGGCTCTCATTATGTATCCCCCAGCTCAGTGACTGACACCCTCTTCTATTCAGTTGCAAAAGCCAGAAATGTATAAATCATTATCTCTACTATGTATCTCTACTACTACCACTCTCTAATTTCAGGCAACTATTATCTCTCGTCTTGAACTTTTCAAATGCCCCTTCACTGAATTCTCCACAATATTCTAACATCTTTCAATCCATTTTTATTTTTCTTATTGCACCTGGAGTGTTTTTAGAAATAAAACTTTGGCCAGGCACGGTGGCTCACGCCTGTAATCCCAGCACTTTGGGAGGCCGAGACCATCCTGGCTAACACGGTGAAACCCCGTCTCTACTAAAAAATACAAAAAATTAGCCTGGCGTAGTGGCTGGCAGGCGCGTGTAGCCCCAGCTACTTTGGAGGCTGAGGCAGGAGAATGGCGTGAAGCCGGGAGGCGGAGCTTGCAGTGAGCCGAGATCTCGCCACTGCCCTCCAGCCTGGGCGACAGAGCGACAGAGCGACAGAGCGAGATTCCGTCTCAGAAAAAAAAAAAAAAAAAAAAAAAAAAAAAAAAACACTTTGATGTTGCTACTTTCCTGCTTAAAAATCTTCCACGGCTTTCATTTGCTTTAGGAAAAAGGTCGAGGTGGTCTGGCTCCACCCACATCTCTGAGTTAATGTTTCTGCTCTTAAACTTTTTTGTTTTCTATGGCTTTCTATCATCCAGAAACTACCCTTCTATAAATGGCAGCATGCTCCCATCTACCCTAGGACAACATTCTCTCCCTGGTAATTTTATACTATTTTTAAGATTGCCGGCCGGGCGCGGTGGCTCAAGCCTGTAATCCCAGCACTTTGGGAGGCCGAGACGGGCGGATCACAAGGTCAGGAGATTGAGACCATCCTGGCTAACATGGTGAAACCCCGTCTCTACTAAAAAAATACAAAAAACTAGCCGGGCGAGGTGGCGGGCGTCTGTAGTCCCAGCTACTCGGGAGGCTGAGGCAGGAGAATGGCGTGAACCCGGGAGGTGGAGCTTGCAGTGAGCTGAGATCCGGCCACTGCACTCCAGCTTGGGTGACAGAGCGAGACTCCGTCTCGGGAAAAAAAAAAAAAAAAAAAAAAAAAAAAAAAAAAAAAAAAAAAAAAGATTGCCTACATTTAAAATATACTTGCATGGATTCTTGAATTTTTCCTGGACTGATTTACCATTGTATGTAGTTATGTTATTTGTAAGATGAATTGATTAAAGTCCATCTCCCTCATTAAACTGTAAGGGAAAAATAATATGTGTTTTGCTCCCTAATTTACTACCAATGCTAAGCATTTTACCTGGCATATAGTTAATGTCTAAAAATGTGTATTGTTGAGTGAATGGAAACTGTTAACATAATGAAGCCAGTGTTAAAAACTAAGTGTGCTGAACTCAAAAGCCCATGCTCTTGTCCACTGTATCATATTGTCCATTTTTCCCAGCTCAAAAAATAGTACTGTTTAGCTAAAGTAGTATTTTACTCAATTTTCAACCTACTTGGTTTGGCACAGAAAATTATAGTCCTCAGCCATTTCTCTCTTTCTGGGCTTAGACTGATAAAGCATAGCACTCTCCAACCAAAACCCAAGAAATTGTACGTTAAAGGATCCCTCTCCCTCCATGCCTTACAAGGTGAGGTGTTGGAGGAATTGCCTTTGTTCTTCTCTAGGAAGTACATTTTCCTGCTTTTTTTTTTTTATCATGTCTAGTTTTCTCTGGCCTATAGATCCCATTTCCCATTTTGTTTCCCTATCTTTGACGCAATTTTTAAAAATTGCTAAATACTTTGAAGATACTCATTTAATAAAGACCTTTTATTACATAAATTTAATCTATATGGTTTCTACATAATGTGTAAAAATAATTGTTTCAATTAAGAATTTATTCTACTTACTGAAATGACTTTGCAAAGTAATTCATTTTGTGATTTATCTCAGTTTTAGAACATAGCATCTAATATTCATTTTATCCACATGTGTGTTTGTGTGTGTATGTATAGCTCCTGTTTAATTCTATATCTTCAAGCTCTACTTAAGATCTTGAATTGTACTTGTGCCATATAAGTTGAATTCAAGCAACACTCTGGCATAAATGCTACCTCCATGAAATCTTAAGCTATCACATTTGGTAATTTAAAAACTCCAAGTGATGCTATACTTTGTTGTCTTTTTTGTACATGTGAAACAGCTACTTCTGGCTGAAATTTTTATTAACATTTTCTTATTTGACATTATATAAATTTTATATTTTGACAAGTTTTTCAAACAAATTATAACATAAAAATAGTAGTTTAAATATCAACAGACAAGGTTTAGGGCAAGATATGCTGTAACTGACAAACATTTACTGTGGTTAATTTACTAAGTCATTCAGTAAATAAAATAAAGTCCTTTAACTGCAATTGTTAACTTGATCACATTGTATAGAGTCCATTCTGTAAAGTCCATAACTAAGGGAAATGTCTTAATTGTGATAGTTATTTTCAAAGCGTTTAGCAATGTTTACAGTGTTGAAAATACAGGTAAACAAACAAAAATGTCTAATTTACCCACTACAGATAAACAATGTTAACACCATATAAATTCTCCCATACTTTTATTTATTTGTGCATGTGTGTATAAACATACAGAGCAATTTTCACAAAACAGTAATCAAAATAAAAAGATATTTATTATCTGCTTCAAAACTTAAAAGTCATGTATTGTTATTATGCCAAATGTAGTCATCTACAGCATTTTAAAAAGCTGAATTCTATAGTACTTGCTTGAGTATACATACTTTTATGTCCTCTACTGCTGTAATATGTTTATAATTTTTGTCTTATAAGGAACATTTTATGTTATAAAGAACACGAAGAACATCCATGAAGCTAAGTCTTTGAGCTTTTCCCTAATGTATTCCTTTAGGGCAAATACCTAAGAGAGAAATTAGCCATTAAAAAGTATGTACTGCTTGTTTGTGTGAGTTGGTCAATTCTTCCATAGCTGCTCTAAATTAACCAAAGAAGCAACGAACTAATAAACAAGTACAACTCAGGTGCCCAATCTAACTCAAAAAGTAATATGTTGACAGACTACCATGTCTCAGATATTATTTCTTTAAATATCTCAGGTGCTGTGAAGTGTGTGAAAGAAATACAAGTACTCTCAGTACAAGAATAACACAGTACATAATTTTAAAACAAATGAGTGTGACACTATTTAGAAAATCAAGTAAATATAATAAAAGTTTAAGAAGAGAGTGTCATAAGGGCAGGCTGATTAGTTAGGAAACAGTATATAAAGGAAATGGTTTCAAGAGGAAGATAGGGTTTTAAGATTTAGTGGCCAAGGGGTAATCTTTCAAAGTAGAGGAAATAACATCAACCAAAGCAGAAATTAGAACCATATGTGCAGAGTACATTAGAATAAGCAAAAGACCCATGTGGAGGAATAATTAGGAAGTGAAGATTGTTGGTTACATGTGCTGAGGATGTGTTGTAGAAATTCTAAGCCTAGGCAGAGGATGTTACACTTGATATCTGTAGCAGCTGAGAGCCAGGGTAGGTTCTTGAGCAAAGCAGATGGAGATTTAATGAT